TTTTTTTTTTTTTTTTTTGATATGGAGTCTTGCTATATCACCCAGACTGGAGTGCAGTAGCATCTCAGCTCACTGCAGCCTCCACCTTCCAGGTTCAAGCAATTCTCGTTCCTCAGCCTGGGTTTACAGTAACTGGGATTACAGGCCTGTGGCACCACGCCCAGCTAATTTTTGCATTTTTAGTAGACACAATGGTTTCACCATGTTGGCCACGCTGGTCTTGAACTCCTGACCTCAAGTGATCAGCCCGCCTCAGTCTCCCAAAGCGCTGGGATTAAGGTGTGAACCACTGGCACCAAGCCTGTTTATTTAATTTTTAATTTAATTAAGTAATTTATTTACTTTTTTAAGACAGGGTCTCACTCTGTCACCGAGGTTGCAGTGCAGTGGCGCAATCACGGCTCACTGCAGCCTTGATCTCCTGGGCTCAAGTGATCCTCCTGCCTCAGCCTCCCGAGCAGCTGGGACTACAGGTACATATCACCACGCTGGGCTAATTTTATTTATTTTTTGTTGAGATGAGGTCTCATTATGTTGCCCAGGCTGGTCTCAAACGCCTGGGCTCAAGTGATCCACCTGCCTCAGCCTCTCAAAGTGTTGGGATTACAGGTGTGAGCCACTGTGCCTAGCCCAAAAATGCCTAATCTCAATCCAACTGGCCTTTATTTATTTATTTATTTGAGATAGAATTTCACTCTTGTTGCCCAGGCTGGAGTGCAACGGCAAGATCTCGGCTCACTGCAACCTCCGCCTCCCAGGTTCCAGTGATTCTCGTCCCTCAGCTTCCCGAGTAGCTGGGATTACAGGTATGCGCCACCACACCCCACTAATTTTGTATTTTTAGTAGAGACGGGGTTTCACCATGTTGGCCAGGTTGGTCTCGAACTCTTGACCTCAGGTGATCCGCCCGCTTCGGTCTCCCAAACTACTGGGATTACAGGCGTGAACCACCCTGCCCGGCCTAACTGTGGCCTTTAGATCCAACTTCCAATGTTTAGGGCCTTGCAGGGAATATGGAACAAGTCAGACCATCTCTCAAAGAAATTGGCCTGAGTTACTCAGTGTCATAAAAAGTAAGTGCCCGTAGGAGGCGCTTTTGGAGAGTAGCCCAAAGAAGCCTCACAACCAAGTGGGTGAACCTAAATTGGATCCTCATTCCTTTTTTTTAAAGGCTTTAAAAGACATCCTGGGGCCAGTTGGAAAATTTTGAGTATGGTGGGGATGGATACTAGACGATAAAAGTATGACTACCCATTTCTGAGATGAGAGTCTAGTCTTGCAATATATAGGAAATGGCTGCTTTCTTAGGATACGCTGAAGAGTTTGGAGAAGGGGCCTGAAGGCTCAGCCACATTTATGGACTGACGATGAAACACATATATTAATGTTCATTTCACTGCTCTTTCAAGTTCTCTGGATGTTTTCAAATTTTCAGAATAAAAGGTTAGAGGGGCTGGAGTCACGCCTGTTATCCCAGCACTTTGGGAGGCCTAGGCAGGAGGATCACTTGAGCCTCAGGAGTTCAAGGCCAGCCCTGGGCAACATGGCAAGACCCCCACCTCTAAAAAAATTAAAAATGTAGGGCTGGGTGCAGTGGCTCACATCTGTTAATCCCAGCACTATGGGAGGCCGAGGCAAGCAGATCACAAGGTAAGGAGATTGAGACCATCCTGGCTAACATGGTGAAACCCCGTCTCTACTAAAAATACAAAAAATTAGCTAGGGGTGGTGGCGGGTGCCTGTAGTCCCAGCTATTTGGGAGGCTGAGGCAGGAGAGTGGCGTGAACCCAGAAGG